GGTGCCTACTTTTTTTTGTAGGTCCTTTAACACAAAAGAGGGTTTCCAACATTCTTTTTACTGTTCTTATAGGTTAAACTTCAGTCTGCTGCATCAGTTAGTCTCCTTGAATTAAATAACTTCCTGAGTGATCAACAAAATGGAAAATTGCGTCAAGATGCAGTGCAGGCATTAGACAGCATCATGCGGGAGAAGCCATCGTTCTATTTCACACCTGTTGGGCGATCGTTCTTCCCGTTTGATTGCCAAGGGAGACCCCTGGGTGAGGGGTGTGAGGTGCAGTTTGGTTTCTATTCAAGTGTTACGCACTCTGAATGGAAGGTGATGCTGGTGAACATTGATGGTAAGCAAGATGATGATTTTAACAAGTGCGTGTACATTGCAGCCCGGGCTGTCCTGATTAAGGGTCAGAGGAGGGACAAGGCCGATTTTTCTCAGCTACTTTACTTGATGGAAACCTTGGCTCTAGAGTCTAAGCAAAAATATGTAAAGCATCTCTACTGTAGTGATACATGTACACTTTTGTCTGATACAAACCACAATGTTTCTTTCTTCTTTGAAATTTTTGATGATTGCTATTTCAGCCATATACCATGGCAAGTGTATGTTCACATACACAGACTATTGCATTTTAACAGTTGTGGGAAATTACTCTTAAAAAACATTTGAAGAGTATAGAATCATAATATCCTGCCCTTAATGTTCGTAATATATAATGTGTCTTCAACTAGGAACCTCACTTGAAGTGGATGTCGATTTTACATTGAAATACTTCAAGAATTAGTGCCAGCCTTGAAGATTGATTAACATAGTATTAAAGTAAATGCTTGTGCTCAAACTTGTACCATACCCACATTTTGCATGATTATATCAACTCAAGACCAGTGTCGTAACCAGCTATTTTTATTTAAGCCCAAATTGTACAGCGTAAATCGTATATCAAATTTTGCCAACGTCCAAAAAAAAAACCACCAACAACAACAACAGTCAACTAAATTTTCTTGCGCATAACTATTTCAAAGTTCTGCTTTGTTCATAACCTTTCAGGAGTTTTTCATGTAAAAGATTGATTGAAAGTCATTATTTTGTTTTTCAAAATATAACATTGATATAGCGGTGATTCGCTGTTGAATAGTAAGAAAAAGAAAATATGGCCTTTCGGCAACTAAAAAAAATATTTACTGACAGAAATTCTTGTTAAGCCCGTGCTTAATGGCTTAAAGGCTAATTTCGCCCCTGATAACACGTGCATATGAATTTTACACTGTGTGACATTGAATACTTGTAGATCACCTGTCCAAAAGTTGAAAAATACATCTGTACTTTTAGTTTCTATTGCCATATTTGCCCAGAAGACATAAAGTTAGCTTATGTCTGCAATTACACTTTGAGCATCAAATGTTGAATAGCCATCATTTTCTTGGTTATTTCATTTCAGTCTCTGCAAAAGGTTTTTACAAGGAACAACCCGTCATAGACTTCCTATGTGATACTCTTGGACGGGGTGTAACACCCCAAAGTCTGGAAAACCGTAACTTTCGGCTTGATAAACATGGACTTGAAAAGGCCATACGTGGTAAGACTGCATAAGACCTTAGTTGCATGATATAACTAAAAAATTTATATTTTCATTTAATCTTCACACACTTTTTTATGCGTTATTTTATTTTGTAAATTTTGTATGATTTATTAAATCCATCTGGAAGTCCTACTTGTAGAAAGGATGGATAATGCTGTCCAGTGGATAGCTTAACTATTTGTCAACAGTTATTCACTTGACAGCTTGACAGCGCTTTTCTGACGGAAAAAGTTATCTATCCTCCAGTGAACTGGGGCTGGTGTTTACCATTACAAGAACTCAACAAAACAGTGACGGCAGACAGGAAACAGAGTATGAATAGGACTAGCTCTTACTAGATACAAAGATTTACTACAAACACAGATTATCAGTGCTGAGGAAAAAAATAATATTATTAATAATATGTATTCCTGGGTTGCAGGACTTTCTAAAACTTTTCTTTTTTTTTAGTAGTTAAGTACTTTAGTGGTTTCCTGCACGACTAGTAATTACAACAACTATCACATTTATCGCCCAACCTACTTTACATTGGTTTCCATTACTAACGTTAACATTTCTCTCATGTATAATTTCATGTGAGCTTTTGCGCTTTTGCGAGGGGCATTTTTTCGTAGCTTATGACTAAAGTTTTCTATTCTATACTTAAATAAAACTTTATTAACAAAGACTGAAAGGTAAATAGCGTGGTACTGCATCTTACTAGTGTATATGAAGTATTTCATAAATGGGATCGTGTAATTAAATTCCTTTAATATTCCTTTTTCGTATGGGCCAGATATGATACCAAATAGTTTCTCTTCAATTGTTGGAGCAAATTTTGAGTTGTTGGCAGAGTTAAACTAGTGAATTACGTTGTTAACGAAAATCTTTACAAATCGACAGTTAAGAAAAGTATGATCAATTGAATCTTTCTCACCACATTAGAGACATTCATCGTTCACTCTAATACGATATCGATGAAGCTCTTTTTGAAGTAACTGCAATCCTATGAATTAATTTAAACTGGTATTCTTTCAATTTGGTTTCCTTGCAGATGCTCCTCAGGGAGGTGAAAATTTTTTTCCAGGCATTTTCATGTAGTCTTATTTTGCTCTTCCAATTCATTGAGCCAGTCTGGCTGACAATGTGAATTTTCCGGTTTAGTAAACCATAGAAATCTCTAGTTTTAGCATTATCCAGTTGTATTTGTGTAGAGTCGTCTAACTGAAACAGAAAGTTATTTCACGTATATAGTTCGTTTTCCAGTGGTTCTGTATTTCTTGCTTTGATTACTAAATATTTTGGGATTGCGCTGGTAACTTGGTAAAATTGGAGAAAATTCGTATTGAAGTCATACTTGTTATTAAATTCTTGGACAGACAGTAGTTGGCCATTACTGTTCAGCAGGTCTCGGATAGACAAAATATTACTTTCAAACCATTCTTTAATAAAAGCTGGTTTTCCTCCGACGAGAATTTCTTTGTTATTAAATAGGACCATATCTTGCATTCCGTCGTAGCTGTAGAGATTTTTTAATTCGTTGAAAAAAGTAAAAATATCTTTGTAAACCAAGGGCAGACCGTTTATGTATTTCACGTCATAATTACATCTTCATAGAAAGTTCAAACCTCCAGTTTTTCCTAGGTAATATGGAATCGTTTCCAATTTCTTATTTCTGGGGTCAAAAGTGTTGGGATCAAAGCTAGCCTCAGAGCTTTAATCATAGTTTCTACGTCCGTCATACGTATGCCACCTTTTTCTCGATCTTGATAAAGCCCGACTCTTTTGATTTTGTCTCTTTTGTTTTTCCATAGGAAGTTAAACAGTTTTGTCTTAATAATCGGAGTTATTTCTTGAGGAACAGTGAGGTTTGAACCTGAATAAACGAGTTGTGATAGACCCAAGGATTTTATTATAAGTACTCTCCCAAATAGTGTAAGATCACGTGCTTTCCACATGTCGAGATTGCTTTGCAATTTCCGTAGTTTAAGGTTGAAATTCATTTGCTTATTTCCATTTTCATCGTATGAGACATAAATACCTAAGATTTTAACCGGATTATGCAACCATTTCGATTTTAAAGGGTTGCTTTTGTTTGTTTTTTTCCCATCTTCCCAGCTAAATCGCTTTTGTTTTTTTACGGTTCAGTTTTAAGCCTGCCAGATTACCAAAATTCTCGACTACCTCCAAGGCGTTTTCGATAGAGGCCAAGTCAGCACAGAAGAGGTTTGTATCGTCTGCGTATTGACTTCAATTCGTTTCCTAATATTTTGATTCCTTTGATGCTGGGTTCTTGTCGAAGCTTGTTAGCCTTTATCTCTGCTGAAAGAATGAACAGATAAGGTGATAAAGGACATCCCTGACGGACATCTCTAGACGGTCTGAACCATTTTGTTAGAAAACCATTATTTAATGCAGCGCTCTCTATATTCTTGTAAAACGTGCAAACCCGTTTTTTAATACTCGTTCCAAAATTGAAGGTGTCTAATGTTCTCATTATAAAAGGCCATTCTAGGGAGTCAAATGCTTTCCGGAGGTCCAGGGATACCAAAATACCCAGGATGTTATGCGCCTTAGTATATTCCATGGCATCGATTGTAAGTCGGATATTTTCACCTATATAACGTCCTTGAATGAAGCCCGTTTGGTCATGTTTAATTAACTTTGGCAGCGATGCATCTAATCTTTTTGCTATTGCTTTGGTTGCGATCTTGCAGTCAACGTTAAGAAGTGTAATTGGTCGCCAATTCGTTAAGTCCAAAAAAGAGCCGTCCTATTTTGGAATCAGAGTAATGACTCCTTTTCTGAGAGATGGTAAGCTCATTTGCCTCGTAAGCCTCGTTGAAACTTGCAATAAGATGATGTCCGAGAAGTTCGAAATAAAGCTAACAAAACTACTGTGAAACCATCCTCACCCGGAAACCTATCATTTTGAAAGGTCTCTAAAACCTTTTTACATTCTTCGTACGTTAAAAGACCTTCCATATT